CCTCCTCTACCAAGAGAAAGCTGGGAGCATTTGGGCAAGTCAATGAACTATTTGGGCCAGAACATCTCCTACAAAATAAAGTGTAGGGAGTAGATAACCTTTAAGGTCGTTTTACAGTTCACAATTACACTGATGCCAAATATTTGGGGAAATACCACCTTTGCCCCCATAGCTCTATGATGCCTTGTAAACTTAGACAGTGCTTATTTTAAAAAAGCAAGCACGTAGATTTTTGTGGTGCAGAGAAACTGAGAAACTACTAAAGAGTCCAACGTTATTGAGGCTAGCTAATTAAAAAGTATGGAACCCATATGACAGCATCTCCTGTAACAAAAGTTTCACATATGGATGTGATTATGGGTGCCTTAAAGGAGAAAAGGAAAATGAGGGCAGCAAGTACCTCTGGCTTCCTCCAGGTTTGGATACCTAGTAGCAAGAAACATATTCTAATAATTCTGCTTAAAATACACAAGAACAATATATTCTCTAGACCTATAATATCCATTTTCTTATGTATTCAAAATGAATGCAATCAGTAAAATTAAATTATTCTTTACTAATATTGAAAAATAATTGTCTTTATTATGTCTGTGTTGGACTCAGGAAAACAATCTCAGAATCTTTCTATTATTTTCTTTATGCCATTTTTCTCATTGCTAACAAATATACCTGCACAAAATATTATATATGTTTTTTGATAAAACAGCCATACTTATAAAGCATAAAGACCAAGAGAAACTATATAGTATAAACAAAATAACCTATAAAATAATTTCGTATTAATCTTTAAGTACCAGCTATTTCTAAAATATTATGCAAACATGTTCAAAATTAAAATCAATCTTCCTTTTAATACAGCTACTAAAAAATTACTTAAAACCTATTTAAGAAATTTTTTAAAAATTAGATCACATACAAATCTATATAAATCAGACATTTAAAATCTTTACTTTGTAAACTTTGATGCTGACTTGCTGAGCAAAAATGATTTTTTAATTATCCTCTAACTCTTATGGATTCACAGATTCCAGTGAAACCAATAAAAATATATTCCTGATAGAATAAACAGTATGATGAGTTTCCAGGCAAATGCCAGGAGAATCAAAAGATTAATATCAATAAGATCCTTTTGAGACAAAAGAAGAAATCAAGTATTTTCCTGTAAAATTTAAGCAAATGGAACAATAAATTTTAATGATACTATACAGGGGAGAAAATTCTTTCTGTAACATTTCAGGAGAGCTTTTTCCCTGGTAAGGAGCTCATAATGATAAAGTCTTAAATGCATATGTAAAAATTCTGCAGGTTGCATAATACTTATTCTCTTTGTCATGTAAAATTGAAAAATAACATTTGACAAAGCAAAATCAGACACTGGAAAAAATGCATCATATTACCACATATCATCACTGAATACATGAGGAAAATATGCTAAAGTTATTCTGTGCATATATATCAACAACAATCTTCCACCACTGATTAATGCCACCAATGGTGTTAATACTTTATAGGAATTTTGATGCACCTTTAATATTCCTTAGATTATCAACATGACAAGAAGCACAAATTAAAACAAAGCACGAAGTCAAAATAGGAGCAAGATGTTCATTGTTTTTAAAAAAGGTGTATGTATTAGTATCCTAAGTAGCACTGTATATTTCTGTTGGGGATGGGCATGCAAGAATATCACTTTGTTAAGCAAACAAGAAAGGCTTCCCTTTTGATTACAGCAGAGCCACATTATAAACCACCTTCAATCCACAAGGCCCCATTTATTGAGTTCATTCCATTCCTTAAATAGTAATCTTTGGGCTATTAGTCATTGAGTTCTCCTTCACTAAAAACATTTTTGTTTTGTTTTCTTGTTTTTATTTCCCCATCTGACCACCTTATATACATATGTGTGTATATGTGTGTATCCGTATTTCTTCATTTACATATATACGTGTGTGTGTGCGTGTGCATGTGTGTGTGTACATACACATACCTCTTTCTCCATAGTTTACTTTACAAATTACCTACTAAGTGTCAGGCTCTGTGCCTGGTCTTAGAAATGGATAAATGACCAATATGTGATTCCTCTCCTCAAATAACAAGAATTTAAAATCTACCCACTTGTTTGGTTTGCTTAACGCATGCCTTCAATATCACTTGCTGATGGAACTGGCAGCTCTTTTCACATGGGTACCTCCTTTGTGGACCATATGTTTCAAATGATTCAACATAGTCTAGCTCTATAGCATATTTCTGTGGCTTTATTATTAGGCAGACCACAGGCAGTCAATCAATATTTGCTAACTAGTCAATTGCTTGGTTGAACTATTAATTGGCATATATTTGAAAACACAGTAACAAAATAATCGCAACTACCCTAACTGGTATCTTATTAGATACCAGAGACTGTGCCAAGCACTTTACATACATTTTCACATGTAATTCTATAATAAAGGTATTATAATACCTGTTTTAAAGATGATAAAACTGAGGCTTTGAGTATTAAGCAACTTGCTAAAAGTCACACAGCTAAAAAAGGATCTAAACTCAAAGTTTTGCCCATAACTACTAATGCTATATTGTCTCAGGAGAAAGCTCCTATCTTTAGATGGCTCGACCCAATGTTGATTAATTGCTAACTGTACTAAAGAATAGGTCAACATAGTTAAGTCAATCAAAAGTATAAAACAATCATGTTATAATATTTATATTTAATAAGTATTAGGTCGTATGAGAACCCTTTCAGCCGTGCCCCATCATGGTGCTGGCTACCCTTCTCTTCCGCCTTCTCCTTCCCACCAGCGCCACAATACCTTTCCGCCAGTGCGAATCGCATGCCAGTCAGCACAGGCTCCCTGCTCCTGGCCCCTTAGCAACATAATCCATCCAATCCCCAAACGCCTCGTGTCCCTTGTAAACCTATCAACTTTCTTCTAACCCTATAAAAGCAGATGTGCCTGCTGAATAAAAAAACCTTCTCCGGCGAGCTGCCTTGCGTTTTTGTCTCATCCTTTAACTGGTGCTGAATTTTATTCCTTTCAATAAGTATTACAGAAAAGGAGACATATAAGCTGTTGTATGTATTTGTATGTGTGTGTATCTTTAAGAATATACAGAATTCAAAACTACAGAAACCATCTTTTCTCATTATTAGCACCCATTATTAGCACCTGTCTGTCTAATTTTTAAACAACTGAAAGGGATTTTGTTTTTAATAATCCCACCATGTGCTGGTCAATTGCAGACCTATATCTTTTCTATATCCTATCCTCAGAATCTAGTACAATGCCACACACACAGTAGATGCTCAGCACAAAGCGATGGAATAAAATCATTAACTCTTCAAATTCTGTTTTAAGGTGAATGTTCCATTTATATGAATGTGTGATAACACACACACATATATTTAAAACATCACAAATAGATTCAGTAAAGGAACATTTAAGTAGAGCAAGGTAAACTTTACATTCTCAACATATCAAATTTTTTGCCACTATTTCCTAAATGCAGACAAGGAAATATAAAACATGTTAACACAATCTTCTGGCTTAAATTTTAATTATGAAAAAGGCAGAAAATTTAACATTATCTCCACAGCAACTACACCCTGGCAATAGATACATTAAATATGTGTGAACCTTAGACAGAATCAAAACAAAGCATGACATAAAAACTAAATTACAGCTGTTATCAAGATTATATGCCTAAATTTAGCTCATTTAATCATTTTATCAACTCCAAACTAATGTATTTTATTTCCTTGCTTTTAACAATTACTAGAGAAGTAAAAAAATATATACGTACCTATAGTAGTGAAATTTTACAAACAATAAAAAGAGGAGAGGTGAACAAAGCATTAAGAAAGTTTCTTCCTAGACGTTTATGAATAGTTTTTTGACAGCCCACCCAGTGACAGTTTATCATAGATTTTAGTAACCGTGATCAAGTACAGCATTCATTTGGACCATGTCTATGCTGCTTTATCCTATTATCTGTACTTTAATGGTCTTTTTACATTTGACTTCTATCACATTCCATTGCAAATCTTTTTAGGGAGTTGGTGGAAGAAACAGAAAGCGAATTTAAATATTCTATCTTAGGTGACTTTTTACCAAAAGAGAACTTCAAAAGCACTGACTTCTAAAAATCCCCATTCTCCTCAACACGCGATATATAGCAGTCTCTCAAAATAAATTTACTTATCTACTGAAAGGAAAGCAGTGAGGTTGGTGGAAATGTGCCAAAATTACAACCTTCTTAAACTTCACTGTCCACAACTAAAGAAATGAAGATAATTGTTATCAATTTCATAAAATTACCACAAGGATTAACAGTTAGAGTGCCTAGCACATTACGGAGCATTTGACCCTTATTTTATTTTGAAACTCAGTTTCCTCATAGATTAAAAGGAATCAATAAAACCTAACCGCTAAAGACTGAATGTTTGTATGTCCCCTAAAATTCTTATGTTGAAATCTAATCCCCAATTTGATAGTATCTGAAGGTGAAGTCTTTGGGAGGTGATTAGGTCACAAGGCTGGAGCACTCAAAATTGGATTAATGCCCTTATAAAAGAGACCCCAGAGAGCTCCCTGACCCCTTCTGCCAGCTGAAGACACAGCAAAGAGGCTATGAACTAGGAAGTGGGTGCTCACCAGGCACTTAGTCTGCCAGCAACTTGATTTTTGAAAATGTGTAAATTGGTTGGCATAAATGCCTGATATGCATATAAACGTCCTCAATAAATCCTCATTTCTTTTTTTTCTACCTTGCCTCTAAATTCCTATTTTAAGACACATAAAAAACCTAAAATCAAATGTATTAGAAGGTGATTTGTTGGATGAATAAAAATCATAGCATTCTAATAAACTATTTTTTTTCTGGCACCAACACAACTTTCCTATGAAAGACTACAATTACCATCTACTAATACATAAAATAGGTTCTAAAAGAAATACTAGAAGAAATTACAAGTCTTTTAAATTAGAATTCATTCATTATTCTACCTTTTCTTCTAGTTGGTCCTTCAAACACTGATATTTTAGCTTCAGTTTTTTGTTCTCACTTTCATTCTGGGTTAATTCTTCAGTCAGCCTGTCACACTGTAATTTCAAATTCTCTAGCTGACAACGATGGGCTTTAGCCATATTCTTATCTTCTAGGCTTTCAGCCTGAAAAAAAGAGGAGAAAAGAGAAAGTCCACTGGCCATAGCCAAATTACACTAAACCAATTACACATTAAATCAGTGGGAAAATACTTCCGGATTTTAGATCTTCATTAATACATAAACATTAAAATAAACACAAAAGAACTGTTCTTTGAATGTATCCAATCACTCCTCAGCACTTACTGAGCATTTAGTAAGTGACAGGTACTCTACTAGGTACTGAAGATAATAGACATGAGCAGTAAAAGAGACAGATGCAACAACCAGTTGACAACAATGAATGAGAAACACTTAATAAAGGCATAAGCTGGGTATTCTGGCAATCCAAAGAAGGGACACCAGCTCTGCTGAGAAGGAAAGGAGCTATTAGAGAAGTGTCCCAACAGGGAAATACTATGAGATGATATTACTGACTGACGAGTTTCCTCGTCTATGAAAAGGAGCTTAACATTCCTATTCTGCCTAACTCCTGTTTTTTATGAAAGAAATGTGTACTTTTTGTACAACTTAATTATTGATACTACTTTTGTGGGGGTAAAAAGATTACGAATTGTAACAGCCATGAAACTACAAACAATATGGAAAGAGTTTACCAGTGAGTATTTCAGCACTAGTAGTGAAATAAAGTACCTGTTTATTGATCTTTATTTGGAATATAACCAGAATCAGCTTATAAACATTAGGAATGATCTATTCTGTATATGGAATTCAATCAAGATTTGCCAGGTATGGGAGCTTAAAGAATTTTAAAATAACAACAACAATGCATAACACGATGTGTCAGCCACTTCTCTAAAGACCTTTTTGTATACAGTTTTTCCTCATTTCAACCTCACAACGACCTGACCAGGGAGGTACTAGTATTACCATATTGCATCTTTTGTTTAAACTGAAGCAGAGAGAAGCTAATCATCAGCCCAGGGCTACACAGTGAGTAAATGCAGAGCTAGGGTTTGAACCCAGGAATTTCTCCTAACATCCATGGTTTCAACTACTCTGCCATACTGCCTCTCGAAAGGTACAAGATCTAAGGTTTTAAAAACCATCTGGAAACAACTAGCAATGCTAACTGGCCATAACTACCAGTTACTCACAGTCTGTAAGCAACTATATATATTCTGTTTAAAATATATGTTTTAATGCCTAAAATGTATCTGTTTCTTTTATTTTTACAAGTTTATTATATGTGTTTAATTAGGTATGTACAAACATAAGCAATGGAAACAATTTCCTGAAAGGAAAAAGTTTTGTGAGTTTTAGACAAAATCTTTATTTTACATACCCTACAAAATTCACCTAAGACCTGATGTCACTTTGAATTAACAAAGGAATTGATTGTTTTTTTATGACCAATCCTGTATTCAGAGCCCAAAAATAAATTTACAAAATAAAGTCTCTCATCAGGAAAACTGTTCAATCACAATTTTAAGTTTCAGTAGAATGCTTTTAGTTTTCTTTATGACCTATAAAAAGCATAGGTTAATAAGGCTTCCCCCTAAGACCAGTGGGGTGTGCTGGAGCCAGTTCCTAGAGACCCTCAAGAGCCATCTCTTCCCAAATTTGTCCCTCTCCACTAATGTCTCATTTGACAGCCTTAAATCAGTAAAGATGGGGTATTAACACCACTGAACTGGGCGAGTGCTATAACTCAGGGTTTTTTCCCCCAAGAGAGCCTGTTTTTAAATATTTACCAGCACACCAAAACCTAAGTTTGACTAAGAACCTACTTATTGTTGTGGTTTTTATTACACTTACATAGGATTTACAAAGTGATGTTGTGTTCACAACAACATAGTGATATAGAAAGACATTAATTAGCATTCCCATTTTATTGATAAGGCATAAAAATGTAAAATAATGTGACCAAGATCACATGCCCAGCAAGTGGCAAAAGCATAGAGCTCCAATTCTGTGTCTTTTAATTCCAATAAAAGGCTCTACAAAATGATCTTGCTGAAATTACAATGAAGTGATAGCCCAATATCCTGAAAATATTGATAGCAGTTAGAGCATGTCATTAACAAACCTTAAATTTAAATTAAAAACAGGTATAAAAAGGGTAATTCTAGATGAAGAAAAAATATAACATTTGTACAAAGAAAAAATATGGTTGACATATCAAAGCTTATTAAACTTAAAAAGTAATAAATTAAGATGAAGCCAATAGACACAGAAATATAACACTTATAAAGCTACTTGTCCAAAACCCTATTGTGCATAATTCAGTATACTAAATTTCCTGCAATGATCATTGCTATCAGCTCCTTTTAATTAATATAAATATGTAAAAGTATAGGATTATATCAACAAAATAGTATGAGGTGAGGATTGTTCCTTAAGGGTAACTTCTTTGGTCTAAAAGAAAACTGCTGGGCTCTCACAATCTCTGATTCTCCTTTCAGCTCTTGTGCTACTACTGTAGCATAAGAGAAGAGATACAACACCCCTCCCAGACCTCAGTCTTTCAAATTTAAAAAAAAGAAGTCTAAAGGTTTCAGAAGATCCACAGAATACTTTTAAGTTATAAATTCTCTACACACTGGTAATTTCTTAAATCTTTATTGTCATCCTACTATAAATGAATTCAAAGCACTTCCCAAAGACAGATGAGGAAATCAATCTTGCCATATTACACAGAGAAATCTGAAACAGACAAATTGCAGAGCAAGTCAGGAGCAAATCTTCTGATTTCCAGTTTAAACAATCTCAACCCAGCATCCACTGAGTATCTTCTATATGTCTGGAACATCGTTCTAGACACTATAAGAAGATAGAAAAGTGGCTAAGATCTAATGCCTGTCTGTTGCTGTACTGGGAGTACCAACAAAGAACTATGGGAACACAGAGGATCAAGAGATTTATCCCAACTTCAATGAGATTTATCCCAATGTCAGTGGATACATAAAAAAGTAACAAATTAATTGGGCCTTGAAGGTCTAGGCAGAATTTTTCCTTCGGCAGATTGAGGGAAAGACCAACCCAGGGTGAGAGCAAGCAGTTCAAAAGTACAAGTGGGAAATGGTTAGGTATTTGTCTGAGGAATATCAGGGAGCATAAAAGGCAGTAAATGTGCACAAGTAAGGTGAGGCCATTTCAAGGAGGGCTGGGCTAGAGTGGAAACTGTTCTAGAGAAGGTTTTTGAGAAAGAAGTGACACACTCAGACACGTGCTGGGAAACGAAATCAGGGGGCTATCTGAAGGCTGAAAGGGAGGAGCTGGGGATGAAAAGAGAAACTAGGGGGAAGTAGGGAGGTTAGCTACTTAGAATTATGGCTAGGTAGTCCAAATTAGTAGCCCGCAACCTGCTTTCTACTGTGATACGTGATACACTGCTCATGTGCCAACATATCCACGAGCAAATGCAATTCCTGCCAAGCAGGCTGTTACCTCCATTACTTTATCTCCACTGAAGAAAGCACATCTGAATGTGAGAATGATGTTCTTAAGCAGATAATCTTGAACCTGCTCTAACTGAAAAGGTTATTACTAACTCCTGGTGATGTGTACAACCTAAATAATAGTGATAACACATCAGCAATGGTGAGAAGGAAAGGAGGGTCTAATTTCAATAACACTCTCTAGAAAACTGTAAGCTCCTTGAAAAGAACCATTTGTATGGCCATGCCCATTTCTGCTAACAAATTATCACATGCTCATCCTCATACAAAAACCCTGCCTTCCTTTGAGATTCACACTATTCTTCATCAACCCCCCTCCTTCTTGCTGGCAACAGCTGACTGATCAATCTCTTCATTGAGGTTTTTTGCATGCGGCCAATTAATGCCTTCACAATAGTATCATAAATAACCAAAAGTCCCTCCAACAAGCTAACTCAAAGTTATTTGACCTATTCTATTCCAACTACCTTCACCGACATTCCACAATCACAACCCATGGGAGGACCACACCTTGGACATTAACTCTGCAAATTTGCACTCCAATATAAGAATTTCTGACCAAATAAGCAACCTCTGATCATAAATTGTAATCCCCAAGTTCTCTCATTCCTTTGCCTATGATACTTGTTCATCAGTATCGGTCACAGGTCATCACTTTACATGCTCCCAGACAAGTCTCACAAAGTTCATACCAGTCTTCACAGCAGTTTTTGTCTTCACCACTTGTAAATTTCTTGCTGCACTGCTGCCTTACTCTACTTCAGATGGAGGAAAGAGATCACCAGTCAAGACTCACAACTTCCCTAGATCATCCCTATCAACTTACCCAATCTTACTGCTTTCTCAAACACCTTCACAGAAAGAGATGCCTTGTCTCCTAGTGAATGCTACACACCCTATTTTTGATCCAGCCCCCTCACATCTCCACATTGACCTTCTCCATCAAGCTCTGCCAAATGGAATAAAACCTTTTTCACATCTTCATTTAACTTGTCTGCCACATTTAACACTCTTGATTATATTTTTCTTGTCATGTCCTGCCAGGGTTTCCAAGATACCATTCTAATTCTCCTCCTGTCTCTCAAATGGTCTTTTATTATTTGCTAGAACCTCTTTCTCAATTTTTCACTAAACATTGGTGATCTAGAATTTCATCTTCTTCTTTCTCCCTACACAATTTCATCCAAATCCCATGATTTCAACTGCCACCTATGAGTTACTGGCCCCCAAGTATTTCACTCTAATCTCAATTTCTCCCCCACCTACTAACTCGTATGTACTAAACCGCTCTATCTAGACTTTCACGGTTAAGCTTAAGGTCCCTCCCACCTAACTCAACATGCTAAAAACGTGAATTTGCCACTGCTCTCTCCAAATCTGCTATTCGGTTTGTATTCTCTATGTTGGCAAATAGCATCATTATCCACCTAGTCGCCCATGTCCTTACCCAGTCATCCTTGATTCTAAACATTTTCCAGGACAGCAAAGTAGTTAAGAACACAGGCACTTAACTATCTGGGTTCAAATTCTATCTCTACCACTCTCCAGCCATAAGACCTTAGACAAGTTATTTAACTTCCTGTGTCTCGATTTCCTCATTTGGGACAAAATAATCCCACAAAATGTGCAGGGATGGTGTGAGTATTAAATGAGTAAAACATGTCAAGTTCTTATAGCAATGACTGGTACAACGTGTTGAAAAAATGTTTGCTTGCAGTAGCGCTGTTATCACAGCCAATCAATCAACATTAATATATATTTTCTTTAAGATCAGCTCTTCTCCATATCCATAACTCTACTTTTGTTTATGTCCTCATCAACTCTGAAGGACTATTACTCCATATTTCATAAATAATAAGATGTGTATTTTTCACATTTTACCATCTTATACTTGGGATGTTATCTTGCTTACAGTTGACAACATGTCATAGTTTTGCAGGCAGGAGGCAGCATTTTTTTTCTTACTAGCATACAATAATGATGCATCTTACAAATGATGGTGTCTTAGGTTCAATAAAATACAATAAGGGCCTCTTACCTACTCTTCCAGCCTCCGTTCTGACCTGCCTGTCCCAATTAATGACCCCAAAACCACTACTGCCAGCAGACTATATAGGACTGGGGAAGAAGTCATAAAATAGGTACAGCATTCTACAAATGTCAGTTATTTAAATATAATTTCATCTTGCATCATAAGCATTTTAAAGTAATAGTTGCATTTTAAAGATATTTTTTAAAAAAATTATAATTAGCCTTTGAAGATTTATCCATTCATTCACCTATTCAAAAGATATTTACAATGTTCCAGAAACTGTTCTAGGTACTGGGGATATAGCTGAAAACAAAACAGTCTCAAACCCCAATATTTATGAAGTTTTCATTCTAATAAAGGGGGATAAAAATAAATAAATAATATGGAATCTATATCATACGATAAGTGCTATGGAGAAAAAATAAAGCAAGAAAGAGATTTATCACACTCCTGACAATCATGTTATGAAATGATTGTCCTACAATGGTGAAAATGTTAATACCATTAGACCTTAGAAACATTCCCCCAAATGCAAGATCTCAATTAGGCATTTACCCAAGCAACTTTGATCTGGAAAACAAGGGGTGAGTCTCAAAAGGCTTGAGTTTACACAGCCCATAAGCTGATCCACTTTAGTTACCATACTAATAAGGCCTGTGGTTATAGCTTCTATGGCCTTGACAAGTCTTTGCCTTTTATATTTTAGGAGGTCATAAATGTTGAATGAGAGCACGTTTCAGGTCCACAACTTACTGCCACCTCTGCCTTTCCTGAACTCCCCAAATAGCTAAATGTTCTTTTTAAAGGGCTTCAATGCTGTGAAATAGGTGCTCCCAGGTGGCTGCTATAACTCATTTCAACCTGACTGAACAGGCATGAATAAGCCTCTTTATTGTTGGTTTTATCTTCCCTTCAGTGCTTGGGAATACAGAATGATCTCTAAAAGTTTACGCTTTATTAACTTCATGAGCCACAAGAAAAATTCCTTCAGTATCATCAGGATAATTCAGCACAGGTACCTTCAGTGTCCTAATATGGTCCTCAGCCTCACTCTTTTCTTTCTTAAAGTGCTTCATCAGCTCCTGGATATTTTGCTCGTGTTTCATTTTCACACTCTGCAATGATGACGTGAGATCTTTCAGCTCCCTCTGGTGAACATCTCGTTCTAGTTTTAACTGTGTGATGGCCGTAGCTTCTTCTTCATCCCTAGATTTCACCTGTGCTGTGAGTTCAGAAAGGTCCTTAAGCACCGCTTTCTTAGCTCTCTCTTCCTCTGCCAATTTATTAGCGAGATCTGCTCGGATGGCGCTCAGGTCCTTGATGGACTCTTGCATCTCAAGAAGTTTAGCTTTGTCCTGGGCCTGGCTCTTCTTTAGCTCTGCAATTTCCTCCTCCAGGTGAGCTTTCTCAACTTTCAGCTGGTCTTGAATCTTACTCTGATTTTTCAATTCACTTTCTAGCCTATGAATGGTGTCCAGAGAATTTCTGACTTCTAGTTCGAGGTCAGCTTGATGAGACTTAATATCACTTAGCTTTTCCTCCTTACGGTGAAGCTCCTCCTCTTGAAGAGCACGTTTGGTTAGGACATCATTCAATTCCTTTCTAAGACTCTCTATTTGTTGTAATGCTGCATAAAGTTGACTTTTCAATTCATCCTTTTCTTTTAGAATCTATCAAGTTAAGAACATAAAGAAAAAAAAGTTACTGTAAAATTCACCATAGACTTTGCCAGATAATAAAGTTTAATCCCCAAGAAGAAAAATTCATCAAATAATCCTTTTCATTTTTCCACTTTTAAATAAAAAATATTTTAAGGCTAAAAAAGGGAGAAAATATATAATTATCCCGAAATGGCACCACACTGAAATATGTATTTCAGATTTTTAATCACCAAAACTTATATCAACCCATGATCATAAATAAGTATTTAAATGTAACATAAAATTGAGCAAAGGAATAAAGAAAAAGATTCCTATTACAAAGATAATTTACCAGAAGTTGAAATAACACAGTACTATCTAAAATAATAATGATGTACATTTCAAAGATACACTTTTAAAAAGGAAAAACCTCAAAACAGAGATTGAAAATAACATAGGAAAGCATGCAGACACAATCTAAGAAAGGTTAAGGTATAATTAGCCATCATTAATAAAATGTCAGTAGTTAGAAACATCAATATGCAACTGGGAGTCTCAAAGCCCCACAAAGGCAGAAATGAGATTAAGTGAAGATTAGAAGGGGTTGGGAACGGGCTCAAGGGAGTAGTCAAGGGACTAGAAGTCCATCACCCTCTGCCCATTTCTCTAGGGGGTTAGGGTTAAGGAACAGAGACCAAGAATAACCTTCACAGCCTCTAATTCTCATCAGCCAATCACTGCAAATGAAAAAGCAAACAGCCATGGAGCTGAGATTGTTTTCTCTTCAACACTGGCACCAAGGAAAGTCTCCTTTGCTTACTGATACCGGCCAGGTCTTGAACCAGGGGAAAAAAAAAAAAACAAGACTCATTTCAGAATTAGAAGTGAGTTAAAATGCAAATATTTTTGAGGCATTTCTATACTTTACATTTTACATTTCAGTGTGGAACAATTTATAATAAGATGTAAGGAGTCAATCACTGCAAACAAACAGTTTCCTCAAATCCCTCAGTTTTACAAGGGAGAAAGAAAGAGCACAAAGTTAACGTGAGAAATAATAAAGGAAGGTGATTAAGCAGTTGAGCTCTGACCAGAGAGCACTGCTTTTGATTCTCAGTCCAGCCATGAGTAGGTCTAGGGCCTGAAGGAAGTTATTTGTTTTCACGGAAATAATAATAACAACAGCTACTTTATGAGGTCGTAATGAAGATTAGTGGAAAAGGAGAAACAAAAAGTTGGGTGAGACTTAGTTCAAGGAGGAACCAGGGTCTCAGGGAGGTATTATGCAAGGTCATAGTAATCAAAACTGCATAAAGAAGGGATATCTGATGGGGCAATATCCCTGAAGTGGAGGGAGTCTGGAATACAGATGAAGTTCACTTTCCAAAGAACATAAGGCAAGAAATATGGCGAGAATTACAGATAAGCCTAAGGGTAGATGTATTATTTTTCTATTGCTGCATAACAATTTCCAACAAACTAAGTGGCTTATAACAATACCCATTTATTATCTCACTGTTTCCAACACATCAAAAGGCCAGCAAAGGCATTCTGCTTATGGTCTCCTTAGGTTAAAATCAAGGAATGAGCTGACCTGGACTCTTATCTGGAGGCTCTGGGTAAGAATCCACTTCCAACCTCACTCAGGTTGTTGGCAGAATTTAGTTCCACAGAGATGTAGGACTTAGGTCCACATTTCCTTGCTAGTTTTTGGCCAGGGGTTATATTCTGAGCTTCTAGCCACCCACATTCCTTGGCTTATGGACTCTTCCATCTACGAACCAGCAACAGTACAATTAATCTTTATAGTGCTTCAACTCTCTCTAATTTCCCCTTCTCCCAAGACTGAGAAAGATTTCTCTGTTTTAAGGGCTCACATGATTAGATTAGTCCCATCCGGATAATCTTTTCATCTTAAGATCAACTGTGCCATATTTCAACATAATCATGGGAGTGATATCATATTCATAGGTTCCAGAAACTAGGGTGAAAATCTTTTGAGGGGAAGGGTCATTCTACTTACTATACTAAAGCAGATGAAAACTGACAATTAAGTTTTGACTGTAAGGATAACACAAGAAGGACCGAAGAGTGAGGGTAGGTGTCTTAAACATAGCAATTAATGTTTGGAACAGATGACCTAGCCCCTGGTCATGAGCTAAGAGAATTTCAGGCAGTCCTGAAGATTAAAATCACATTTTCATGATGAAGATTGATCAGATCTTTAATTATAAAATCTTCCTGGAACTGGTCTAAACAGAAAGGATATTTATTTTTCTCACATAACAGGAAGTCTGGAGATAAAAGTAGTTTAAAAAAGACTCTTGCGGGGCCGGCCCGGTGGCGCACTGGATAAGTGCTACTAATGCCTACAAAAAACAAACTTTGCAGGGCCAGCCCGGTGGCGCACTGCTACAGTGCGCCGCTTGGGAGTGCGGTGGCACTCCCGCCAAGGGTTCGGATCCCACATACAGACCGGTTCCCGCTCACTGGCTGAGCACCAAGGGCTGCGATCCCGTTGCCAGTCTCGGTCCGGTACGGGCACGACACTGAGGGTTGCAATCCGTTGCCGGACAAGAAAAAAGGAAAAAAAAAAAAAAAAGACTCTTGCAAAGCACAGGCTCTGCTACTCTAATTCTCCAGGTTTTGCTCTCTTACCAGTGTTCTAAGCATCACACCAATTTATGACAAAGGTAACAGCCCTATGGTGGACAGTCACAGAGTATGTTAGTAAGTTTGGAATTTCTTTGGCAATATAGATACTAAAAACTAAGTAAGCTCCATCTATTTGCTTCTGGTTAATTGCTTGGCTAGTAGCCACAACCCAAGATTTTGTCTAGACATTGTCTCTGAGCCTGAAAATGTCAGTGTCTTAACCACTACCTCAATACTCCGGACATTCCCAGGGCCCCACAGTTGAATAGCCTTTATCTTGAGGCAATTCAGAACAATGGACTCTGGTCCCCTTTGTCTGGCCAGGAATGCTTAAGTACTTAAAAGGGCTCTGAGAAAATGGCTTGGTTTTGACCTCATTTTTATTTCTAAGTTTCCTACCTCCCTCTTGTGCTTGGAATAACTTCAGTTTAGATACATATCTTGGCTTTTCCAACCCTAAAAGGATCTAAAATATCAGACTCTGACTCAATCAGTTTGGATCGCAGATTGCAGACTTCAGGCTACCCACCCCCAAAAATCTCATTCTCTGCTTTTTGACAGACCAGAGTCAACATAAATTTGTCTTTCTCTTGTAGGATCTTTCTGAAGGCTAAAATATGTACACAACGTAGTCCACTATCCGTACACTTTCTTAAATTGCATATGATAAGACCACATACACATTCGAAAAAAAAAATTTCAACCATTAAAAAATCCAGATGTTACAAGACAGCATATATTACTGTCATATATAACTCTTTTTTTTTTTTTCTCAGCAGCAGGGAAATACACAGAAGGAAAAGATGGCAATTTAAGATTGAAGTCAAATATGATCAAGCAAAAAACTCAATATATGGGCAAGTCAATTATTCTGCCGATTCAGCAGGAAAAAAAAAATCTAGGAAGCATTCCCATTGCCCATGTTAAAAAAGAATATGAAAGAATTTGAAAACACTCAGAAAAGCAAATTTTATGATCAGAGTCCAAGTTCAAGTTTTTTCCTTTATCATTTTCAAAGCATGTATAAAAACCCATGATTTCAAACAGCACTTTAAAAGAAAAAAGGGAAACAAAAATACAACTTATAAGTAGATTATCTGTATTATAGAGTTTCAGTTCTCCCTGTATGTGTTCATCTACATGTCCCTAATATATCTACATCATGATTCCCTGATGTAAATATCCATGTCCTCATCTTTTAAGGGAAGTATAAAGTCTGATCTTTCTATTTTTTCCTGCAATGATATGCTATGTTTGCTATTACATATCCTCCAGTGAGGAAGTAGTTATGTAATATGATATATATCTGATAATCTTACCAAGATTCCAGAAATGTATAAAACGGGGGAAAAAAAGAATAAATCAGAGCAATTCTTAGAATAAAAGCCTTTTGTCTTCTAATATATTTTTAAGTGGCAAATCCTAAAACAGAAAATAAATGATGCTGGAAAATGAAAAATGGAAGTAGGCACAGAGGCATTTTGCAAATACAAAGATTTCATCATTTAAGCATATAAAATGGCCCAACAACTTATTAAACAATTAATTTATTCCTTAAAACACAATATGTTCTATTTGTAAACTGGTATCATTTTTAATATACACATCCAAAGTACTCTGGAGTCACTTTTTGAAAATAGTGCAAAGAAACAAAAAGGGAGTAGACTATAACAGTAATGCCTTAAAGTGGTTTTATGATTTTATTAAGAACTAAATATTCCTTAGAGGTAATACTCAGTAATACAATTAAAAATTTTTCAAAAATTATTTACCATGTATTTCTGCATCACAGATTTACTGGACACTTGAATTTGCAGTGAAACATTTCTTACCCTTTCTTCCTTGATTAACCATTGCTCTAAATGCGACATGCTGCATTAATTTTTAAGGCTTTTAAAGGAGAAATTACAATGCCTGCTGTGATAATTGTGATACTACCCTAACTGTGGCAATCACTTTAAACCTACTTCTTTGCTTATCATTAGCAATGCTAAGTGATAACAATAATTATATCAGAAGTATTCTGGGAAATAATTGTTTAACAATTTTTAATACTCTGAAAACTCAATCTAGAAAACTCTCAGCATCATGGATTGGGATACAGTCTGATGACATGGACTCTTCTAAATTTCCTCTAATTAAGCAAAATCCCCAGATGATTCTCAATCAATCAGTCCCCTCAACCACTCTTCTCTCTACCTCCCTCCCTTATAGTTCGGCTCATTGAACCAGCTGCCAGACCAGGCTGACAACAGAATAATCAACGAAGAGCAATTTCCTGGGATCAAATCAGTGCAGATTCAAGTCTGAAAGCTTTTGAACTGCTTTACCTCAGGGAAACCAGCTACCCAGTATTTGTCAGATGGATTAAAATCAAAAGCACTCCACAGTGAGTGCAAAGTGATCATTTCCTCTATCTTCTGTATGTCCAAGAAATTTGTATGTAAAAGGTAAAGCATCTTTTCCACGACACCTCATCTGAAATAAGTGTCTGTCACTCTTAAGTACTGACAATTGATTTTATAAATATAATTGCCCTACATTTTGTTTTCTTTTGAAAGAAAGTCAACTTATCCAAATGATTATCCATCTGGAATGTTTAGAGTTCTTGACAATTGATGAATGACAAAGCACAAATAATAAACCAAGACTAAACATGGATTAAAAAAAATCAATCAATACTGCTTACTATCTTATAAGTATCTGGGTTTAATTCAATCCAAAGATATATCAGTTGAGAATCAACACAGGAGCATAAAATCCATTTAAAAACACTGATTATAAAAGAGAAAAAATGATGTGAAATACATACATAGATCAGTGAAATGCTTTTTTGTTGCTATCAAATGGACATAAAAGCAGAGTCTTGAAGAAGCTGGTGATCAAATAACATTGCTCAGTCAGTGAGATTATCAATTTTATTCATTTAACTAAGCCCAGTATAGTTGCTGCCAGAATATGGCCCAGTAGTAACTATTACATTTTTTAAATGCTTCTTTCTAAGCAATACTTAAGTTGAGATACACAAATAAATGAGATTTAAAACTACATGTACTGGGGGAAAAATTATGTGATATTGAGGATTTAGTGATTTTCTTCCATTTGTATGTTAGAATATTAAATAATAATTCAATTTAGAGAACTTAAAGCTAAACTGGGGGAGGGGGTGGATCTATTTTAAGGGCCAGTGGGGAATACAACAATATTTATAAAGCAAATGTACTTCACAGGGCCTCCAAAGCCCTGCAATTTCAGGTTTAGCCTAACTTCTTTTTTTTTTTTTTTTCCTTTTTGTCTTTTTTCGTGTCTGGCAACGGATCGCAACCCTCAGTGTCGCGCCTGTACCGAACCAGGACCGGCAACAGGATTGCAACCCTCGGTGTTGCGCCCGCACCTCACTCAGCCAGTGAGTGGGAACCGGTCTGTATGTGAGATCCGAACCCTCGGCGGGAGCGCCACCGCACTCCCAAGCGGTGCACTGTAGCAGTGCGCCACTGGGCCGGCCCTAGCCTAACTTCTTAAAAGTACATATAGAAATGTTAACCTTGCAAAAGACAGGAAACTTTCTCCAGGCTAAAGTGTCTGTTGTAAGATAAAGAACTGTAACACAGCAAGGTTGCTGGCTGAAGGACAGACAAGTTACTGATTGATATGTAAGGATACTGGGAAATTGCTGTGGGGAAGGACAATGTTTGCTAGGATCAAGCTTTTGTTGGTGGATCGACTTAACATTTTGCAGATTCAATTATGGAATGTCACTTTGCTTGTTTTACTGATGTTACCAGCCTCTATTGTTAAACTTGTTAAACTATACTTAGCAAAAACCCCACCTATGTTCTTTTCCTGTAACTTCCTGGTCTGGAAAATAAATGCGGGGTGAGAACCCCAGCTCATGGTTAATTTCCCAAAAGAAGGAATGCCTTGCTCTTGAGGGTTCTGGGAGATTAACCCCTTTGGGGTCTCTCACTGCTCGGAAGAGATGGACTTTGGGTAATCCTTTTGCGGCTCCATCACCCAGGGGAAGAGAAGTGACAAATCCATGTGAGGCAAAGCAACAGGCCAGCTCTGAAAAGCCACAGAATGTTAAACTATTAAAAAAAGGCCTTACAAAAATAAAAAAACTAAATAACTTTCTACTTTGAACTAGCCAAGACTCTGTAATTCAAGGACATACTGATAGACTGTATGCACAGCATGGCACTCAAGTATTTGTTTAAAGGGTGGATGAATGAATGTTTGATTATACCAAAAACAATTCCTTAGGAATTTGGCTGTTATACCTGATTATTCTTGTCTGTTAGCTCATCAAGAGTTTCTGACTGTTTTTCCAATGTTCGCTCTAATTTCTTGTGCTTAAGCTTCCACTGCCTAATAGATTCTTGAGCTTTCAGTTTCAAGTCTTCTCTCCTCTTCTCTGCCTCCTCTCTCAGGGCCTCTGACTGCTGGAACTCATTGAGGTAGTGCTCGGCCTGCTTGGTGGCATCTTCCGCATGGTGAGTCAGCTCTGAGATCTGGAGGTCAGCACGCCTTCGCTCTGCCTCACATGTGTCAAAGTGACTCTGGATCTCCTTAAGTTGATCCAACATCTGAAGTTGCTGTTTTTCCCTGTTCTCCAATTCACGTGTTAAATTCTAAGAATAAAGCAGGTGAAACATTAGGAACAAATTCTTGTCAAAATTGGATGTGCAACATATCATCAAACAAGAATCTCTAATGTCACTGAAAATCAGTTGTATTAAATTACATTAGCAATATTAGAAAAGATGGGTGCTATTCTGTGTATTTATAATCACATTAGTTGGAAATAACTTTCATAAATATTACCTACTCTATTATCCAAAAAGGGAAAATTTCCCTTATACTTCCAATAAACTGTCACTAAAATAGAACACACTGTTGAGAAACATAATGTGTACTATTTTAGTAACAAAACCCAGTGTTTTGTCCAACTGAAGAAATATCAATGTTTTAAAATTTGAACTATTAGTAGCAATCATATGTAACATTTCACTTTCTGGAAGCCCATAAAATTTTATTATAATAAAATAAAAATCAGAAACAACAAAATGAGAATTGATGACAAGAACATCAGTATAGGTAACACTATATTTGAAAGTCCATTTAATTAATTCACCCACATACACACACAAAAAAAAACCGGGGGCGGGGGGGGGAAGAAGATATAACAACTATACTTTTTTGAAGTTGTTACAACAAGCAAACGGAAAGGACATTCTTGGGTGGGAGGGGAGAGAGGGAGGAGGGAGGGAGGTGTCAATGATGGGCCATAATAATCATATACATTGTATATTGACAAAATAAAAATTTAAAGAGAAAAAAAAAAAAGGTTCCCAGTAAAGTGTTTATAGACAAGTATTTCCAGTTAAACTGATTAATGTTATAAGTTGAAGTATTTACCTCAAGCTGACATGAATCAATGTAGTATAAATATATAAATAAAATTACTTTAAATTTACTTGGAATATTTCTCTAATTAAAAAGAGAACCTTAAAATCTAGCTTCCCTAAAACAAGGGTAGTCCTTAAAGTATTTAGAAGTTATACTAAATCATGATTAATACATATTTTAATTTGAGAATGAAATATTTTAAGTTGAAAATGAGAGGATGTTACTTTTACACATTTTATACAAATAGAAGAATGTTATAATCATTAACATTAAGCCACTCTTATAAAGCTTTGAAAGGAAGTGACAAATTCAGAAATTAAGTTCTTACTATGTGTCACACAGACTATTCCTCCTGGGCCTTGTTTCCAAATACCTAGGGGTAACAACAGTAACATAAAAAGGTTGTGTGCCCAAATAAGAATGAGCTCAAGAGACTAAGATGATGCGGTGAGTTAGAAAAATAATAAATATCATCTATATCGTACTAAGGCACTGACGAATAAAAAGATTAGAAACATTTACCAAGTTCTTCTGGCCTCAACAGCAGAATCTTCAGGTTCAGATTCCATTAGCCATAATCTGTGGCTCAGATAAAGTTGAATAATTTCTGCCATGATTAAAGTCATGGTTTAACATTTTAAAATCACGGTTTGACATTGTGGCCAAAATAATGCCTGAAAAACAAGCTTCATTTTCTGAGCAACAGGTTAGCATTTGCTCAGTTTCCTAAATTCTATGCAGCGTGGAAGAGCCTTCATCCACCCAAACAAAATAGTGAATTAAGAACTGTGCACTTGTTTGTGTGAAAATTCTAAAATGAGATCAGAAAACCCTAGTGACTACGGTTTACCTTTTGCTCTTTTTCTAAAAGTTGTATCGATATGCTAGAAGTCAACTTTATTAACCGGTAGTAATCAAGTGATTTAGCATCAAAAGAAAGACAGAACCAATTTTTTTTTTTTTTTTTGCAACAAATATTTGGAGAAAGGCTGGTTATACCTACTATGTGTCAGACACTTTGTTTATAGTAAGATTAGTTTATAATAAGAAAGATTAATAAGACATAGCTTCAATACCTAAGGAGCTAACAGTCTAACTAGAGAGATATTCCCTCCAAAAGCTAATTTACAATAGTAGGTAGCACAAGGTGCTAAAACATGATGCAGAGTTACCTGAAGGGGTTTATATTCTACAGAGTGTCTGGAAAGGGTCTCTTTTAAGAGGTGATGTATAAGCTGAACTATAAATAAAAAGGAGATGGCAAAAATAATAAAACAACTGACTTCTACTGAAATGGACTGAGCACTTGAGTTGTGCCAGGATTGAACAAATGCTGTATATGAATTACCTAGTTCAATGCCACCACACAATTAAAGTAAAGCACTATTGTTATCTCCATTTTAGTGGTAAGTAACCAAGGCTTGCCGCAGTCAATAGCTTGCCCAAGATCACATGCCTAATACATTATGGCAGGAGGATTTGAAACCAGACAGTCTGACTCCAGAGCCCATGTTTTTAACACTTCGCTAAACTTCCAGATTCCCTGATGGTCCTAACTCCATGCCTCTTCAGTTACCCACTCCCATGGTTCTGTCTTGGTGTTTTTATAAGAACCGCTACCTTTGAAGCAAGAGGTTCTTCCCTGCCCCCATCTCCAATCCCACCTCCAACCTCTGCCTTTAACTACCAGTCTAATCAGTTCTTTCACTCCCTTCCTCTGCTGTACCTGCTCCTCACTGTCAAGATGACCACTCCTCCCTTGCTGTCCCTGGCTCTCTAACCCAACCTCCACATTCTTTCACTTTAGCCATGCTTGCTCATAGCTCAACCTCCTATTTTAAACTGTTCTTCCACTGAACTTTAACAATAAAACCACCAATTCTGGGTGAACTAAAAAATTTCCTAATTCCTACATCAGTTTACTGAGTCCTCTAAGGAAAAATACACAGGAACATCTGGTAATGTGACCACACACTGAGGGCCAGCTCATCAGCACCCAGAAATTCTTCCACATGCCTCTACCCAGCTCAAACAATGGCCATTTCAAACTGTCTCCTCTCTGATACTACCATCTTTTCTCTCGCTTTAAGTATGTATTACAGCTCCTCCTTCAGAAATAAAATTGAGGCAGTTAATGCAGGACACCCCAAAAATGCCCTACTTGTAACATCCTGAAACTTACCAATGGCCATTCTCTCCTCCTCTCCAGCCTCTAAGGAAAAGGGATCCTTCCTCCTTAGACAAGTTAGCCTATCTTTGCTATTTCCTTCCTCATCCATCAAGGGCTTCACTATACCAACCAGGTCTTCTCTTCCATGTCTTGAACCTCTCTTTCCTTACTGGATCATTGTGCTCTACTTTTCCCATCTCAAAACATAACAGTAATCGGCCTTATAACACCAAGACCAAGGGTTTGGTTGCCCATACCAGCCAGATGCCAAAAATAAAATTAAGAAAAAACAATTAAAATAAACACCAAACAAACAAACAAACAAAACAATAATGATTACAAAAACTGAAAATAAATTTTAAAAAAAAGAAAAAACTTTTATTCAATCTTACATTATCTTCTAACCTATACACTTCTTCCTTTTAAACCAAGCTCCTGGAAAGAGTAGTATACACTTCATACCCCCACAATCTTATTTCCAGTTCATTTAGTTCTCTGTATCTGGTTTCCATCCCTATTATACAATTAAAATAGCTCTCACCAAGATCCCCAAAGATTATATATAGCCAAATACAACAGACTCTAAAAATCTTTCGTCACCTAATTTCCTCATAGAATGTAACACTGTTAATTACCTCTTGCTCATTCTTAACATTCTCTTCTTCCTTAACTTTCATAATACCAGTTTTCACAAGTTCTCCATTTTCTTCCTCTTCTTTCATAATCTCCTTTCCTGGTCCTCTTCTACCATTTAGCCTTAAATACAGATAACTCTACAATTATCTGAATAAGTTCCAGTATTAAGTATCATCCCATCTACATGATATTCATGTTAGGTAAGCAAATATGTAGGTAGACAGAGATATAAGTGATTCCCAATTCAGAAGACAGATCAAACTCCTAAACTCCAGACTTTTAAATATCGAATTGCATAATGACTTTCTACACTTAGATATCACATAGGCATCTTAAATTTAGCATGTCAAAAAGTGAATTCATCTGATGCCCAACACAAAGACAGTTCTACTAAAATGGCAATAAAGTCTCTCTCCAACTCAAGAGGATAGACATGGGGGTAGAATTGTATTTAACAATTTAAATATGAGAAGATCTGAAATAACCACTGTAGGAAAAGAAACAAAAGAGATGTTTAAAAGATGACAAACAGAAATAAGGTTCCAGTTAGCCTCAAATTTATAATATACCCAAAAGTGTACAAAATTCTTTGGATTTCTCCAGCAACTCTTTCAAACCCAAAAACACGTTCAGTGATATTTATTCTTCTGTAATTACAGAGCAACAACAATACACACAGGATTAACACGCACACGCCCAGAGCTTAAGCCCATAAACTCTTCTCTCATTTAAAAACTGCACACTTTCATATTAACAAGTTGCATGCAATAATTCACAAAGAATAACGTTTGAAAACATGCCATTGGTCAATGTAAATAAACACAAAAGGATGTGAATCTTATCGTAAATAATTCTGGTTCTCACTACTGAGGAGAAAACAAGTTTGAATTTGAACTGGATGAATACTGCCTCTAAATGCCCTGAATCTGGAAACTATTGGTATCTACTACTTTGCTACTGTCAGCCTACAGTATGCTTCAGGTAGGGTTCCTTCCTATATTCACTTGTTAAGAATCCTGTTCAGCCATTGTTTTGGCCTTTTCCTTAACCCATCTTCCTCAAATAACAAATTTAAAAAATCTAATTGTATAAACTTTTCTCCCCCATCAAAGGATTACACTACAGAACCCTCATAACAATTCCTTACACACACACACACACACACACACACACACTCAAATACTTATACATACATCCACACATACACATAGAGAGAGCATGCAAGTGTACAAATATCATTAATTCATGAATAAATGCTTTCAGGTTATTTATAGTAAATAGTAAGGCACAAATAGTAAATACCAGTATCTTCCTCATATACTACATGAAATGCTAAATGAAAAGCATTTTTCTTATTTATTCCATTATGATGACTTTCATTTCTATTATTACTATTATACATTCCCGGAGGCATTT